ACTATGTTTGTATATGTACATGTATGCGGAACTGCAGGACGGAGTCCAGAACAAATGTCCTTACGGGGACAATAAAGTATATCGTATCGTATCGTATCGTAACATACAGTGAGTTAAACAACCTACTTAAAATATAGATTAAAGCCATAGCAGACTGGGTCAACAATAACAAACTGGTACTCAACATTGCAAAAACAAAAGCAATGGTGTTCGGATCCAGACATATGTTAAGCAGCAATCCTCAATTAAGCCTGACCCCCAGTGGAACAGGTAATCGAGACTAAGTTGCTTGGCATTGTTCTTGATTCTGGTTTAAAGTGGACAAAGCAAATTGACAGTATCATAACTAAAATGGGAAGGAGCATAGCTGTGACAAGAAAATGTACAAAGTATGTAACACCAACCACTTTGAAACAAGTCATTCAGTCTCTGGTTTTTTCACATCTTAAGTACTGTCCGGTCATATGGTCATCAGCAGCAAAAACACACATACAGAAATTACAAATAGCTCAAAACAAGGCTGCCAGACTAGCCCTCCATTGTTCGAAGCGCACTCATATTGGAGTTATCACTTTTCTCAGAAATGTCCAATTTAGCAAAAAAAACACTGTATTTTTATGATCAAATAGTTTACACAAGAGACGAGCATGACCATAAGACGAGATAAGCTACATCAGGCCATCTACTGGCACCTAAACCCAGGACAAATCTTCTGAAATATTCTGTGACTTGTGAAGCTATAATGGAATGGAACTCATTGCCAAACTACCTCGCTGAAATAGAGTCCAGAGTTCAAGAAGAGATTGAAGGGCCATCTACTAAGGACCATGTACCCTTGTGAACTGTGAACCCTAATTGAATTGTATCTCATGCTTTGTACAGGTAGGTGTCTTGTGCACTCACCCTTGGCTGAGTTTGATATTGATTGATACATATATGCACATATACATATACAAACCTACATACTCACACATACACATAGTCAAACACCTTCCCCATCCCTGTACCTCGAGAAAATAATTTCTCTGTATTTCCTCTTGAACTGGTAAATGTGGATGAGATTGTTGATGATGTTGGTGATGTTGTTTATGTTGTTAATGATGTCAGGACTTATGTCTTGAATGTTGTTGTATTGTTGTTTTGTTTTAAGTGTCGGACCCCAGGAAGAGTAGCTTTTGTCAAGAGCAAAAGCTAATGGGGATCCTAAATAAACATAAACATAAACATACTAACTTCTTTGTCCGACTACTCCACCATGCATAAGTGATTCTCTGACTGTATTGTGTATTGTGTCCTTCAGGGTGTATCATATCCAGCCTGCCACGGGATCTGGGCCAAGTGGGCGCCTCCTCTTGAGAGAAGTCGATTAGCAACAACAGCCTTCTGTGGTAAAGTTTCTAGTCTAATGATATATTTCCCCTAAAAATTCAATATCTGAAATATCTGTAAATGCGGATTTCTATGACCACTGAATATCAATAAAGTAAGCATTTTCAGCACTAAATTGTTATATTATTAAATGAGTAATATGTTGCTTTTCTTTATATTTGATGCCTTTCAGGATCCTATGCAGGGGCGGTGGTGGCAATGCCTTTAGCCGGGATACTGGTTCAATACACCGGGTGGTCTTCAGTATTCTATGTCTATGGTTAGTATCCTTGTATATTTATACATGTGTGCAAGCTGCAGCACTATCAGCTGAGCAAAATATGAATGCAAACCCAAGCAATCTTCATTTCAAATGGAAATATTTCCTATTGGTGTGTTTCCAAAGCTAAAATTAAAGAATGGCTGAGCTTTTATATAAATTAAATGATTTATCTTTCTACATCAAGTATTTGAAATTCAAATCTTAGCACAACATCCTACTGATTCTGAGTTTCAGAGAGCCAGTGAATGTGTATGCTCAGGTTAATGTGTAGAGCTTTTACGTCTGCGTTTGTTCTGATTACATTGCTTATAATCAAAAACCAGTAAGTTGACAACTTTGCTATCATACCTTAACATCAAGCAAGTGCAACAACACAAGACAAAGCCAGCTAGTTAATGTCACTAAACCAGATGCATTGTCTGTTTGCCAACTCAAGTCCTGGCAGCAAAGCTAACTGAGCTAACAGAGCTAGCTGACAGAAGCTACTGTTAGCGTCACTTTAGCAACAAGTGAAGCTTTCTGTCCATCAGGAAACTCAGTAAATCCCACATGGTTGAGGAAGAGCAGCTTGAGGACATGACAGGGACAACCATAACAAATATCCCCATATAATATCATCCAAAGTTACAAAGTGCAACAAAATGGGTTCAAGGCGCAGTGTTCTCCCTTTCTCTGTATCACTTATCTACCCTTTAGCTTCCTAGCTTTTTATCCTCTGTACCCATGTTGGTTTCTTTTGCTTTCTCTCTCTTCCTCTCCCAGGCTGTTTTGGGATATTCTGGTATTTGTTCTGGGTTCTGGTGTCGTATGAGAGTCCTGCAGCCCATCCCACCATCACAACAGAGGAGAGGAAATACATTGAAGATGCAATCGGAGAGTCTGGATCATTCCTTAATCCTCTGCATGTATGGCTCTTTAAAATGTTTACCATTAATGTACCATTGAAAGTCTCTTAGTCCTGCATATTTACACACATACACACTCTCTATATAATATTTACCTTGACTCTATTGTTCTTCAACCATCTTAGTCAAAAGTTAAACAGTGCATCCCAGTAATATCTTATTCCTTTTTCTGGCAGAAATTTAAAACCCCATGGAAAGCCTTCTTCACCTCCATGCCAGTCTACGCTATTATTGTGGCCAACTTCTGCAGGAGCTGGACCTTCTACCTGCTACTCATCAGCCAGCCCGCCTACTTTGAGGAAGTCTTTGGCTTTGAGATCAGCAAGGTGAGACTATATCATCCATAAACCTATAAAATACTTTCTTTACAGAAGCAGTTTTTGTTCTATATTTTGCTTTCAAACACGTTTTATAAACACAATTGGAATATGCCCAAAGCAACTGTCAATGGAGGGTTTATGTGTTAAGGCTTTGCTCAAAGGCACTGGAGGGAAATGTTGGTATATTTCAACCTGATCATGTTTGGCCTATGGGTCATAATAACCTTGAACTAATCATCTCAAGTATTTCAATAGATTTATATAGACAATTAAAGTCTGGCGGATGGCATAACAATGCTAGTGGTGTCTTTAAGTGTATTTTGCTTTAATTTGATAGCAAACAGTGTAGAGGCGATAGGAAAGGCTGGGAGATAAGGGTGACTGTTCGACTGATTATGTCACAATTTACAATTGTTAAGCTCATTTCAAAGGTGCCCCAATCCGCATAAAACTATTATCCAGTTCCATTTGCTATGAAAAATATGCTTAATCCAGTTATCTTAAATGGGAGATGTTCAATCTATTTTAATGTTAGTTAATTGTTTATGATAATGTATAAAAAAAACACTATTCCTGTCACACTGCTCTCACACTTTCTCTCCACCCTTTCCTGGATGGATATCCTCGTGGATTCATCTTCCTATTATACACACATGCATTTCCAAACATTTGGACTACCTATGTTGCAAATGTATTATCTTTTCAATTTACACACGGCATCTATTGCACGTCTGTCCGTCCTGGGAGAGGGATCCCTCCTCTGTTGCTCTCCCTGAGGTTTCTCCCATTTTTCCCTTTAAACTCTGGGTTTTCTCTGGAAGTTTTTCCTTGTACGATGTGAGGGTCTAAGGACAGAGGGTGTCGTATTGTCATACTGATATTCTGTACAAACTGTGAAGTCCACTGAGACAAATGTAACATTTGTGATATTGGGCTATATAAATAAACATTGATTGATTGATTGATTGATTCCTCTCTCAGGTGGGCATGGTGTCAGCTTTGCCCCATCTGGTGATGACAATCATCGTGCCTATTGGAGGCCAGTTGGCGGACTACCTGAGAACCCACAACCTGATGACCACCACCAACGTCAGGAAGCTCATGAACTGTGGAGGTGAGAGTAAAACAGGAACAGGAAAGGGTGATAGTTGTTAAGAACGGGGGAAATAAATATCAAGACAACCCAAAAGCAGTAACTGAATTACACACGAAACAAATAATGTATAAATGATGATGTAATTTCACATTTGCTAAAGTAAAGCAATATAAAGAAAATGAGAGACTAAAGTAAGCAGCATTTGAGATTAGTTCAATCAACATCCTTCTGTTTGATGACATTAAATTATTGCATTATATAGATTTGTATTGATTGGCATAAGTCTCCTCAAATGTAAGGACCTAACATTTAGAAAACATTGTGAGACCTTTTACACAGCAACTGTGCAGCTCTGCCAGTACTAGAATCATATCAATAATTTAGCTCATCCTAAAGGTTGTATCAGTGTTTCAATTGCAAGTGTATAAACACATGTATAATGTGTGTCCATGGTTAATCTCACCTACTACTGGAACCATCAGGATAATATATTTGTTTGCTAATTTATGAATTAATGCTCAAGGACCTCACCATGCTTGTGGTTGTTCCTAAAAAAAATTATTCACTGTTTTATACTTTTTCTTGCTCTTTTTCCTTAGCGCTCTTTAACTACCGGTAATGGTCACAACTGTTAAGCCCCAAGGTCCCCGCCGGCGGGTACTTTACTTTTTATTTTCACGACACTGTGTCTCAGGGGATCTTAATATTTAAGAACCTATTAATGTGTTATACCAGATTAACGGAAATAATCTCAGCTAACTGACGATACAAACAATTTTTACCAAAACAAAACACAAGTCTCATAAGAAGCATCTAAATCACCCCTTAGCGAAAAATGCTAACGGACATTGGCACAGAACTCAAGATAAAAGTACCCTTATTACTTATCGTAGCTGCACATATAAAATATCCGATTAAAGCTGAGGTTCCACAGATTATTTAGGTATATAGTATCATCACTGAGTGATCCGAACTCGCGACAGGAGAACCAAACACAGACATCATAACACGTACCTTTACGGAGCTTTTAGGGAGATCGTCTCACCGTAGCTGTCAATCTGATCAAAAGACGTGTTCAATGGCATTAGAACGAGAAAAAACGCGGCTGAATCGGTTAATCCATAGGTTGATAATGTGTCTGTGTAATAATTTTTTTCATTTATAATCCATAATTCTATTTTTATGTAAAAATCGGAGAGCAAAAATTAGCTGCTAATGGTAGCCACCAGAGTTATCGCAGCTTCCGGTCTTGGCTATGCGGCTGTATAACACACACACGTTACCAAATAAGGACAATGTGGGAGTTCCCCTCGATTCCATTGGCTCTGACGGTTAGAAAGAGATGTCACATGTCAAAATCCAGCAGGGGGAGCCAGAGATATGAAAAATCCACCCAAATGGCCCCAGAAGAGGGTTTTATTTGCTAAATCTGTCTAAAAAGGTCAAATATCACTTGTTTTGCATCAATCTTGATACAGGCTACTTATTATATGTTGTACTTTGGATTCCTAAAGCTTTTAGTCTACTAACCCATCATCCAAGGTTAGTTTTCACTATAAGTACAACATATTTTTTGGACGGACACTATAATTTACAGTTTTTTACCATGTTCAATCGGAATTTTCTTTTCTATAAAAAACATCTATATTGATTCTGACTTTTCTACATCCAACTCACAGGTTTATCATTACTTTGAGAAAAAAGATTATTAATTTAACCCTTTTAGAAAGGAAGATAATTATGGTCATTTGTTCTGGGAATGTCATTTTCGAGCCTGAAACCTGAAAAACAGGCTCGGGGTTTAACAGGTTAATAAAAGGCATCTTTGTCTATTGGCAAGGCAAAACTAAATAGTTGTAGAACAAATGTTGGCCTTTGTCGTGGCGAAAAAATTGCATTCCGAACCCGATATGTTATTAACAACAATAGAGTACATTCAAAAAAGATAGTAGTCACAACACCAGATAAAAAAATACCAACATGTGTTATTTTCACTGCCATCTCAACTGAAAGAGAGCCGGGAGGGAAAACTGAGTGAGATTCAATCATTCTTTGTTGGGGAGGAGACACACCTGGTGGAGATCTGCCCTTTACACTTTTGCTGTGTTTCCATGTTTCAGGTTTTGGGATGGAGGCCACCCTCCTGCTGGTTGTGGGATTTTCTCACACAAAAGCTGTTGCCATTTCGTTCTTGGTCCTCGCTGTGGGTTTCAGTGGATTTGCTATCTCAGGTGAGAGATGTTATAAACAAGTTTGCTGTCCACCAGCCTAAAAATAGTCCTGGCACATAAGCCCTGTAAAAAAAGAAATTACCAAACAACATCATTTTTAAAATTCGCAAACACCAGGGTTGCTATTAGCCCTTTTTTACAGTCTTTATGCTAAGCTAAGCTGCATCTTTTAGCAACATGTTCACTGTACAGAGTGGTACTGACCTCTCAACTTTCAGCAAGGAACCAAATAAGTGTGTTTCAAAACATGTCATGACGATTAAAACGGCAACTGTTATTTTGAGTTGTCACTACATGGACACCATGTGACTGCTTCACTAACATTGTAAGAAATGTATAATATGCTGTTTTGTTCTTTAACCCAGGGTTTAATGTCAATCACTTGGACATCGCCCCTCGATACGCCAGCATACTGATGGGCATCTCAAACGGGGTGGGCACATTATCTGGCATGGTGTGTCCTCTCATTGTGGGAGCCATGACTAAACACAAGGTAAAAAACAATTACTTGTATCAACTTTGAAATGCTGTGACGAAAAAATTCTCACCCATATTCCATGCCTTTCTTTTCAGACACGTGACGAGTGGAAGTATGTCTTCCTTATAGCTTCTGTCGTACATTATGGAGGAGTGATTTTCTATGGTATGACTTGACTCTGAATAAAGTGTTTGGTTAGTTACGTGCAGGAGACCTCGGTCTAAACCTATTGTATTTTTCCCCACTAGGACTCTTTGCATCAGGGGAGAAGCAGCCATGGGCAGACATAGAAGACACCAGTGAGGAAAAGTGTGGTATTATTGATGAGGACGAACTGGCCAATGAAACAGAGGATCTCTACCGGGGAGGCGGGCAGTACGGGGCCATGAGCCAACCAGTCGCTGGTTCCAATGGAGGAGGAGGAGGAGGAGGAGGAGGAGGAGGAGCCGGAGGAGGAGCCGGAGGAGGAGCCGGAGCCGGGTCGGGATGGGTGTCGGACTGGGATAAGTCTGAGGAGTATGTGCAGAAGCCTGGATAGAACTCTTACATGTATGGTGGAGAAGAGGAGAGGGAGCTGACATAGAAGATCCACACGATACACGTTTAAAAAGAAAAGAGGAAGATTGTTTTTTGGAAAGGGATTGTCAGAGAGTCACTGCTATACTGAATGGACCTGCTGTGTGCTTTTGTTAAATATTTACAACTGCACATATCAAAAGTATGCATTTGATTTATTCCATTGTGTGTGTGTGTGTGTGTGTGTGTGTGTGTGTGTGTGTGTGTGTGTGTGTGTGTGTGTGTGTGTGTGTGTGTGTGTGTGTGTGTGTGTGTGTGTGTGTAGATGCATGCAGGTGTTAGAGGGGTTAATGTACGCAAACACATTCAGTATTCATTAGTGAAAACTGGACTCATATATCCCAGACTTCCTTTCTGTTCCTGAGCTCATTGTGATTGGTCAGGAGCTCTGTTTCCAGAACATCACTGACGAGATTCAGTGTGTGTGTTAGTGTGTGTGGCTTGGTTTTCAAACCACTGGCATTGTAGTGTATTTAAATGTGTATGTCACACAGTTACCTTTTTTCGCTGGGAAAGCACCTTAGTTTTTCAACTGTTGAGCTAACAACATTGTCCGACGTACTGAATACAACATTAGATGTCACTCCAGTACAATACTCACACTTTTCAGAAGTCTCTATAACTCCCAAGGCTCTCAGCCTTAATAGACAACATACTGAGCATATGATTAAAAAAAATCAATCCACAAACTAAAAGCTAATGTGTTTTCTAAGAGTGAGGCCCCTTGTGGACAATCTTGTCCAGATGCTGGTGATGCATTATGATATTATGTTCCATAGCATGCATTATTTAAGTGCATGCATGTGGTGAATACTTTCAAACTATTCAATCAAAGAGGAAAAGGGTGCTTAGGTTTTGTATCAGTCTGTGTTTGTTTGTGTAAAGCTGTAAAGCTTCTGTTACAACAGCCTTTCCTTTATGCGTGTGTGCATTTGAATGTGCAAAGGTGTGTGTTTGAGCTTGCATGTAGCATATAGCTGAATCTCACCTGGGTCTGACCCATCTAGGTCACGGCCAGCCAGGCTTATGGGTCACAACACATCAGTAATCATCTGACATTAGTGACTTTCCGTTTTGGTGTGTGTGCGCTCCCATTAGAGAGGTGGCCCAGAATGACAAGTAGAGTGTGATAGTTGCCTAACTCTTACACTGCATTACCAGCGAGGAACAACATGTATTATTACCTGGCATCACAGCATGTGCTGCCTCTGTTTCTGCCTTTTTCTGCGTCTCTGTGGCTGCCTCTCCCCCCTGTATTTAACACTTTGTCTGCTCCTCTCAGTCAGTGTTTCCACTTCTTTAATTCCTACATTTGAGCCATGTTTGATTTGGTGGGTCAGAGCTTTTTAAATTGTCAATGTGTCTGTGTTTGTGTATGTGTGTGTTATTGTGTTGGATGCAGGTGCTGAAACATTGTGCGGTGAGCATGTTTTAATGAGCATAGAAGTGCATTGCCCCGCCATCCCTCTTTTCCTTTTACACACACACAATAGCACTCACACATACAACCATACATACACACAGATTGCTATTTTCAATGTGTGCCGAGAGAGTGGTCGCACACAATTTAATATTAACATGGCTCTAGGTATGGAGCCTCATGGAAACAGATTAGGAAGTATTAAGTTATCAGAGGATGTGTTGAGGTTTGCTATCACACCCATCCATAAAAGCAGCACCTTCTCCATCTTGACGTACTGACTGCTGGGTAATGGAGTGAAGTATTTATTTTTGAGAGGACGCTTACATGCTCAGGAGAATAAATGTGGCACTGTACCAGCTGCACAGCACAACAAACATTAAAGTACATGTGAATGCACATACACAAATACACACACACTCATGCAAGAAAAATGCTGCCCTCTGCGTGCTCACAGTGTTTTATTTTAATTTGAAAAGTAAAATTGCAGACAGCTCTTTTAAATCAAGAACCGTATTCATAATTTATGGAGTTTGCTGTTTCAGCTCTATTTTGTCTAAAAACGTTTGAATGTTGTAAAGAATTCAAATAAGGGTTTAATGGTCAAATAAGTTGGTACGTCAATAAATAAAAAATGGTGTTTTGAGTGAAATGTCTAAAAAGACATGAATGGCTATTCCTGTGAAGAACTTCATTTTTAAGTGTTGTATTGGTGTTTTTAATCAAGTTTGTCTTTGGCTGTTCCAATGGTGTCATCCTCCTTGATGAAATGTGTGGTAGGAGTCAGTGTTGAAAATAAAAAAAGGAATTGATCATGTTTAAACATGCCAACATGTGGAGAATATTCTATGTATAAAGATGTATATGTCAGATTACCTTGTGTATAATTAAATGTAAGCAATTTATTCACTACTTCAGCACAGTCATGTCATCAGGAATATCAGCATGATGACGCATTAAATTAGTGTTTTATACATCATGAGCGCAATGTCAGTTCTCTGTGTTTCTCTCGAGACAGATGGATGCAGGATTATCTCCGTGATTTTAGGCAAAGATTAGATGGGAGAGCAGATGCACTCAGTGGGAGAGTGAGGGAGAAACATCGACGTCACAGACACCGGAAATGAGGATGACGTCCAGAGGGTGGGGCATGATGCCTGCCCTGTGTGTGTGTGTGTGTGTGTGTGTGTGTGTGTGTGTGTGTGTGTGTGTGTGTGTGTGTGTGTGTGTGTGTGAAATTAGGATTATTTTCCAAATCATCCAGTTGTAATAGTTTACTTTTGCAAAATGACATGAGGTCAGGGACCAGTTAGGACATGTATAGCTGCCTTAGCCCATTATAAAATGGTTGGCAAGCCACCTAGACAGATTTATTATCACATAAAGTAATACAAATGCCATTAATATAATCAAAAAATAAAGTCAAGATATAGTGATAACATTAAAAAGTTGAAAAAAAGATCTGAATATAGTATAGAATGAAAAGTGCCATAATAAACACAACACATAGAAAACAATGTACACCTATATTTGATTACCGATGTGTCATGAATTGAGTTTACAAAAATATTTTACTAATATATATTATCCGTTGTTGTTGTTATATCTTCCATGTCCTGCTGCCCTATTACACTAGATGAATGCAGCATTGTATTACTACCCTGGTCAAGTAGGGCACACCCCTTTTATTTGGATTGTAGTCTTAAATTTAATATGAATATATTTTGTGATATAAAAACAGTTTTTTTCCAATAGGGTCCATGTCATTAGACCCAATGACTCCGAATCAATGCAGTCTGTGTTATTACTTTTAACCTCCTATGCCATTTTCTGTTTCATTAATAACGTTTATACAGGGATTATTATTGTGCAGAAGTCAAAACGTAACACTGTAGATGGGAAATGTTACCACAGGAGGGCGCTTAACACTAATTCTAGTAAAGGCAGACCATTTCGGAGAATTCTTTCAAAATAAAAGCCCTAAGTATAAAATAGATAGATAGCAGTAATTGTGGAGCTGTATTGGAATGCAATAAATGATGCTGAAGTTCGTAAAGCTTTACATTTTTTGATAAAACAGATTCAATTGGTGCTCATATGAAAATGAATTCCTTTGTGATGTGAATCTAATATATCTGAGGAGTTGAGAAGAACCATCTGAGAGAGAAAAAAAGTTTGCCCGAAAAGCCACGCCCAATAAGGGCTACTCCTGTTTATGATTGGACTGATTTGCCAGCTATGGGCGGGGCTAACAGCTAACACTCCATGTGATTGGACTGTCACGACGTCTGTCTCACTGCCGTCCGTTCATTGGTTGTTTGATGACGGGGATTAACGTGAAAATGCTCTGCTTCTTTCAATGAGCCACAATGGAGACCAAATAGGAACTCGCACGGACTCAAGCTTTAATGTATTCATTATATGAAGTTAGATTGTGCTAATAGCGTCATCAATCTGTGTTTCATATACTGACACGTAACTGTATTGAGGAAAAACAAGTTGTGGAAAGATCCTGCAGTTTGTCTACAAGTGTCTTTGAATAAGGAAATCGTCTCAGGCTAACGTTATGTAGCAAGCTAATCTCATTTATCCATTTTACTCGTTATTTTAACTATCTTTTCACTGGCTGTGATAGACTCCACTTAAGGTAAGTACGATGAAAGACTTCTACCAATATCGATTCAGTAACTATGTACTTAACATAAAGAAGTAACGTCGGGGAGGGTAATCTTAAATCTGGGTCAGTGTCTTCGCCATGTCAGTGTGGGGAGGAAGAGGCTGTGATTTGTTCATCTTCACCAGGATCTCCCCCTTGATACTTGTTTAATAGCATTATTTGATGTTTTCCAGGCATGACTGAGTACAAACTTGTGGTGGTCGGGGCAGGAGGTGTGGGGAAAAGCGCTCTCACCATCCAGCTCATCCAGAACCACTTCGTAGATGAATATGATCCGACCATTGAGGTGAGGTGCTGCCCATCAGACACAGTGACATGGAGAGGAAGAGGTGTAGCAATAAAAGTCCTGCAATCAAATAGTTACTCAAGGAAAAGTATTAGCATTAGAATAGACTGAAAGTACTAATTATGCAGATTGGCCCATTTCAGAATAATATATATCATGTTATTTACTTTGTACACTGTAGGGGAGCTTGTGAATGTTACCCCAGGTGTTTACTAAAAGTTTTCATTATGTTTCACATCACTAATCTAAATCTGCAATGTAATTTAAGGTATTTAAATACATTAAAAATAGTGAAGTAACAATTTACCTTTGAATTATAGTGGAGTAAAACACATTTTTTAAAAGTACAGTACTTGAGTTAATCTACTTAATTACTTAACACCACTGTATAATAATAGCCTATATCTAATCTATGAGTTTACCACGGAACTCATTAATGGGAGTTTTTCTTGAACTAATGTGGCTTTAAAGCTTCTTAAACACTCACTGCAAAACCACATCTGTGCTGTTACCGGACATCAACTAATACACAGGAAGATATGATGTTACCCACCCTTGTCCCTTAAGTGGTTCATCCTTCCCTTACATGTGCCTTTTACAATATTTAATATATAAAGATTGAAGCCGGAAAGCCTATGTAGTGTTTTCTTATAGGCCTATATTAGTAAACATTGTAATATTTCAAATCAATCTGGCCAATTATGACCAAGGTATGTTTGTGTCTTATTTAAATCTCGGCTGGGCACTTTAATAGAAAGAATAAATACATTTTAAATAGCAAAGCAATACTCCAGTACAAGTCAAGACTGCCATTAAACACCTTACAAAAGTAAAGCAACAGGGTATACTTAAAAAATTAGGAGTTAAAGTATTAATCTTGCAGCTGTATGAGTCATATTGTTATATTAGTGTTTGTGCTCTATTGACAACCATTTACTGGAAGTCCCTGAGGCTCCCACTGAAATGAGTTAACGGCTTTACGCTCTCTGACGCTGCTGATGGACAGATCGGTTGATCCCATTTAGAGCATTTATTTAGAAGAGGTTGCAGGGTAGTTCAACTAGAGATTGTAATTGCTTTCGAGCTATATCTGCTTTCTTTGTCTGTGTTCCTGTAGTTTAAACTTGATGTGTTTTTAAAATATTGTGTATATTTAGCTTAAACACTTTTATGCTACTGACAAAGCCAGGGCTCGGTCAGGAAAGGTATTTAGTCATTTCAATGTGATCTACCTGGTTAAATAAAGGTTTAATATTGAAATAATGTCACTCAAGTATTAGTCATAAACATGGAAGACACATGTTAATGCTATTGCTAGTCAACAGCTTATTGTAACAGCTTCACATACTGCTGGGTAGTTTGTTGTGTTTTCTTAACCATCTGTTTGTGTATGAACAATACAATTAATGTGCAAAGTAAACAGTCACAATAGATATTAAAAAAACAGTTGAGTATAACGTGACTGTGTAAAGGGGCAACGTGGTATTAATAAGGCCATGATGTCACAAATATGCTGCACCATCAGAGAGGCTGAAGGCTTTATTAAAAACGGCAGAATCCTCCAAAACTTGAAATAAAACCTGCTAAAACTCACTGAAACAGATCTCCTGTCAGCCCTTGTTAGTATAAAATAATTTCCAATGACATATATAAATCAACACAACGCTAAGTTTATCACGTTATCTCATATTCTTCCCACATTGATGCCTAGAAATCCACACAAGTTGGTTGTAAGTCTCGTGAGTTACACACGTTATCGCCACTTCTTTACAAAACGTTCCATTCAACAAGTTGCAGCATGACGCAGCGGTGACTGTCATGGGAATGAACCATGATGCAATCCATTGCCAGATTTCTTGGCATGCTCTTTTTCTTGCCGCCTGCATGATCATGTCGACGCTGTGTTTCAGGACTCGTACAGAAAGCAGGTGGTGATCGATGGAGAGACTTGTCTGCTGGACATCCTGGACACTGCGGGTCAGGAGGAGTACAGCGCCATGAGGGACCAGTACATGAGGACAGGAGAGGGCTTCCTCTGTGTGTTCGCCCTCAACAACATCAAGTCCTTCGAGGACGTTCACCTCTACAGGTACTAGATACTTTGGGCTTTACCCAGTGCATATCGCCATACTGTAGATAGCTGAACAAAGGAGCTGAAACAACACTGTGAGAGAAGGACTGTTAGTGCATTCCATTTCAATGGTGTGTGTTTGACTTGGCACAATTAGTGTTTAGATGCGCCTAGCATACTTTCAGATGTGAGTAGTGTGCTAGTTCAGACAGTCTAGCAGTACAAAGGCAACTTCCTGATGAGCAGGAACTGTAATTATCTGTGCCGCATATCTGCTAAATATGGTGAGTTCAATGGGTCAAATGCACACTACAATCTTGTTTGCAAATTCATGAACTGATCCAAATATATAAAGCAACACTTCACTGCAACTAATGTTATTTTAATATGCGATTAACCTGCAGATTATTTTCTGGACTTATCGTTTGGTCTGTCGTCCAAATTATAAATATGTCAAAGACAATTTAAAAAAAATAAAAAATAATAAATAAATAAAAAAATAAAATAAAAAGTCCATCTAAGTGTTTCAAAACCAAGGTTATCGCACGCTCACTGCTTGATAGCGCGCGGAGGTCCGTTTACGCCGGTTGTTAAACAACATCGTTATGGGGAAATGCAAGTCTGCGTCCAAATGGTTGGAAGATAAGGAGGAAGGACAATCAATACTATATATAGTCAATGTGAGGTAAAGTGTGTCGCCAAGGTAACCGGTTAGAACTGAAAGTGGCGATGAGGTCTTAAAATGTATGGAAAGGGTCTTAAAAAAGGTCTTAAAAGGTATTACATTTGACTTCAGGATTCCTGCATATACCCTGAGTGTATATAAAAATAGCATTGCTGGCATGAAAAGTTACCTCAACAATGAATGAATTATCAGAATAGTTAGGGGTTATTTTTCTGTCGATCGATTTAAAAACACAGCCCTACAATACTGATGAAAATATGAGT